AATTTGCTTTATTCCAGAAACAGTACTAGTGGTACAGTGTGGAATTTTCAGCACATATCTACAATATTTGCATCTAATTTTACCGACATTTAAAATAAGTACTAAACAAACAAAAAAATAATAAATCTGAAGACACCAACAGCAAAAAAAGCAGGATAAACACAAAATAATTGTAAATGCGAAAAAGTACCAAAGTCTACCAAGGTCTAATGCAGTGTTTGTGGTGGTAGTGTGAGTAATCCTGAATAATACAAAATGTTTTAAGGTGGTGGCTATGGCGTTCACAAACAATGATTGTCAGTTTAATATTGCCGAAAAGTATAGAAAATAAGAAAAACAACCACAAAACTAATAATTACGTGATGGTTAATGACAGGACAATTTTGTAAAACTCATAGTGCAGATAGAGTAGGAACCAGTGGATACACAAAAGAAGGAATATAGTAAAGTACAAAAAAGGAAGCCAATGTTAATATTTTAGGTAGCTAAGTATGTTTGAAGAAGGAGTTCACTATAGAATACAAAATAAAAGAGAAATAAAAGAGCCTAAAATTATGTTGTTAATAACAAAGCAAGTCATAGGTTTCACGCTTAACATTGTCTCTGTCGCTTAGAACACGGGCCAAGTATGGTATCGTTGAGTTCCTGTACTTGGTTGTACGAGCATAGATTATTTTATACTGATTTCTGGTTTTACTTGATGAGATACAAGGAGAGAGTTGGGAATAGAGGGGGTGTTGGGGGTCTGAGAGTATGGTTTTTGACCATCTTTCGCATGTATTCAGATGCCTTTCAACTAATGTAGTGACGAGCTGACTGAGATTTACACCACTAGTCCTACTGACTACCTTCAACATCCTTCTCAGGATGGTAGATGAAAATATCCAGTTACCAGGGCAGATAAAGACTGTTAACCGCTTCTTTCTGAACGCATAAATGGGGTTTCAGGCGCTGGATGGAGATGGCTTCAGCAAACTTGAGGAGAATTGAGCTCTTGTTGATAATTTTGAACGATTTTGCGATGTCCAGCTCACGACCCGTGTTAAGAAGATGCCTGGCGACCGCACTATTTAAAGCATTTGTGCGTTCAGAAAGAAACAGTTATCAGTCTTTCTCTGCCCTGGTAACTGGATATTTTCATCTCTCTTTCATCTGAATACGTAATACCTAATGTTTCCGCTGTGTATGATCAGTACTGTTCGGAATAGTGTTTAGTATTACATATATATATATATATTAATAATGCATGCATATATTGACTGATTTTTGTTTAAAATGAACTCTCTGTGCAAGTATGTTAAAATTGATTCTGTAGCTATACTTAATAATGACTGTGGCCTGTAAGCAGCTGACGAGAAGGCAACGAAATAAATGATGGTACCACTTCACTCTGCAAAAACTGTAGTTCTCGCTTTATTCAAATTAATATGTTTGTTAGTCGCTGATTTACTTGAGTACCAGGCTTCCAGAAATTCCCTCTATTTAAAATTTCGACATTAGCCCAAGCATATTGATGTTTATAATTATCTACATGCATTGATATGAAAGAATATATATCATGTCTTTTTACGGCTAATTTGTGTTCCTGTATTCTGATTGGAAGGGGATGGGTATCGTCTACCAGCCACGAAGATGGTTACCAGGAGACGAAATTCTGCCATTCATGGAAAATTTAAATCAGTTCATTTTATGCAAAAACTTGTGCTGAAGATGTTGTCCAAAAGGTCGACGAAAGCTCTGCAATTAAACCAACCAGCTAGCTCAGAGGACACAACTAGACGCAAATCATCGGCCTGAGCTACACATCTTCTCTATTCTTCAGATATCTGTAGGGGAATGTCTAGCGAGCTCAATAACATTTCAAGTATACAAATAGAAATCCAAGATTATAGTGTAGCAATATATTATAAAAAATACAGATAACGAGTTATATAAATTAGTGGTTACTTGGTGATACAGTTAAAATCCGCTGCTGCAAATTATTAGTATAATTAACAGAAGCGTTCACTGCTGGAATCGTGTCTACTAGTAGAAGCTGCGCACCGGTTGTAGAATAGTCTTCGGATGAGTATAATAGGTTCCTGCAATAAATCTAAAGTATACAACACGGTTATGAGTGAAGCGAAGCGACCAACAGTACACTGTTTTTCAGATTGTACTTGGAAGTTGTCTGTATTGCATAATGAATCGTTTTAAACAAGCGTCATGTACAGTGTCTCTCATTTCAACATCTAACAAAAAAGTGTACAATCATATTGTTGCGTACTCTACATATCTACCTTATGAATATCTGAAGAATTAATGCTCGCATATGTTATCCATTTGTTTTAAAGATTGCCTTTTTATTTAGTTCAAATCAGAATGATCTGAGATTTTATATCATTTCATTCCTTTCTTACATTTCAAGCGTCACATCTCAACTTAACTAGGTTCTCTGCTATGTTTTTTATCTGTCTCTACAATCACCCAGTAAGCTTTCATTTCTTCTGGGGAGTCTGGAACAATATGATTTTACAGTTTTCTTTTAGATGTTAAAAATGGAAACATTGCACAAAACTTCTGTTTAAAATGATTCATTGTACAATATACATAACTTTGGAGTAAAATCTGAAATATACAGTGTGCTGCTCCACGCTTCGTCTTCTCACTGGTCCATACTGTCTACTTGCTTCACTACCGACCATATTGTATAATTTAAATTTTTCAGGAACCAATCACCCTCATCCGAACACTATTCTACAACCGGTGCACAGCTTCTACTAGTAGACACGACTCCAGAAGTGAACGCTTCCGTGATTATATTGATAATTTGTTGCAGATGTACTTTAACTGTATCACCAAGTAACCATTAATTTATATAACTCGTAAACTGTATTTTTTATAATATACAATTACAATATCATTTCATTAACTTGGATTTTTATTCTAATATTTGTTCCGTTACGGAGCTAGCTATTAAGTCCTGTAAACCTCGTCACATGGCCTCCTCCTCCATAACACCCTCCAACTAATGTTCAACTTGTCGTTTCCCACTTGGAGTTCCCTCAGTGACTTCCCTAGCATGTGATGTCGTTCAGTGATCTCCTCAGCATATGTCTAATATATTCCTGTTTCCATCTGTAAATGTGTTGGGTAACAGGCTGTTGGCTGGTTCCTTGTCTGCCAGAGCTCTTTGTTGCTTATCTATCTTCGCCGGCTATCTGATCTCCAGTATGGAGTGAAGGCAGTTGTTGATGAACGTCTGTAGTAGCCCGCTGAAATGATTTTCGTGATGTGCATACCAAGTATCTTAATCATATTGAAGCAATGACTGACTTGACATTAGTATTGAAAATCCGAATCTTAATTTCTTGTAGACTTTCTACACTGAAGGTCTGTCTTAGTTTCCTGATCCTGGCTGTCTTTGACAATCTTATCCTTACCGCTTGTGTAAAGGAGATGTATTCATTCAAATCTCACCTACTGATTGTGACTGATGTTTGTTGTTAGTTGGCACGTATCTTCATCATCACCGCATCACGTGAAAGTTGATAGATTGTTTTAAAGAGTAACTTCATTTTTGTTCACAACTGACGGTCTCGTGCACGTTTCCAAGCCAATGAAGCACATAAGATAACTGGACAAGAATTTTGACACATTGATTTTACTGTATTCTTTGAGTGGACACCAGGTAGTAACCAGTGTCATGCATCTAGACCTTTGAATGGTGCAAACTGAATTCTACCAATCAAGTTTGCAATGTGGTCGCTATGCTAGGTGGCTCGTCATCACGGTGCACTCTGAGTTGCTGTTATTTAACGTTTGGAAACAATCGGCAGGAAACTTTGGACCTAGTTTTCTTGACTGTTGGCACTCGTCAGCAAGGCATATCTGCAATCTTGAAGGAACTCATATCCCTTCTGAAATTGACTGATAGAATTCAGTATGCACCAAAATAAAGGACTAGACGCATGACATTAGTTACTGAATAGTGTTCAATCAAAATATCCAGTACAGACCTACAGGAAGTCAATCACCAGGCTGAATAGCTCAGTGGTAACGTCTCTGACCGCAGAGCTGATCGATACAGGTTTGAATCTCTGAGGGGAGCATGATTTCCTTCAAAATTATATCATATATTGTTAGACTTTGAAGATGATAAAATTGATGTTTAGGTGACGAAACAAACTATTCTTACGGAAATCCTCTTGAAATTTGTTAAATATCAATCAGAGTAGGATTAGACGCACTCATCCGAAGACAATAGAAGTACTCTTCGCTTAGTATAAACACTTGAATCTAGGCAACCAGAATAACGAAAGTGATATTTGATTGAAGTATCCAATAGAATCCCAGAGGAGCTCAATCACGATCCCGCATAGCTAAATGGTGGTAACGTTTCTGACAGCAGCACTTGGTGACGCGGGTTCGAATCTCAGAAGGGACATGAGTTCCTTCAAGGTTGAAGATGCACCTTGCTGACGAGTGCCAACAAGCACGAAACCTAGGTTCAAGGCTTCCTGCCAATTGCCTCCAACCATCTAATATTCTCCAATCAATGTGCACCGTGACGGCGATCTACCTAGAATGGTGGCCACATTACAAAAAAACCTGACTGGTAGAATTCAGTCTGCACCAAAAAGAAAGGACTAGACACATCACACTAGTTTCTAGTGTCTAATCAAAGTATCCACTGCACTCCTACAGGAGGTCAATCGCAAGCCCGAATAGCTCGGTGGTGGTAACGTCTCTGACTGCAGAACTCACTGGATCACGCGGGTTCTAATCTCAGAAGCGACATGAGCAGGGACATGAGGGATGAAAGAAAGAATAGTAACATGGAGGGACATGACGGTTTAATGGATATGAGAGATTATCATGAGTGAATTCACCAGGGCTTTTCAGAACTATTTTGAGCCCATATGAGCAATAGTTACTAATTATTCTTTCTGAGGATCTTGAGAACCCCAACCAGGAAGTCTACATCTCCCAACGTGGCTGTTACAAACGTGGGTACAACAAAACAGTCTAAGTAAGTCACAGAATATATATAGATGTATTTCAGCAGTCAATAACAAATTCAAATGCATTGATTAAATTATAGGTATTATATAGGATGAATAAATGAAATAGACAGATAGACAGATAGATAGACGGACAGACAATAGGGACAGGTAATAAGTAAATAGATAGACAGACAGACAGAATTTCTTTTCTGTTTTGAAAAATAATAATAATATTAATAATAGATGCATATAATAACCGAATACCGTAGTTGTTCATTTAAATTATACAGAAACAATAATATAAGCAGCGGCAGCATAATCTATGCAGTAAATATATTTCAGAAAAAGAAAGGACCTATTTATCTTTGATACTGTTCGTCCGTTTGTCTTTATTTTCAAAAGCAATAAATTATGAATACTGATAATTGTAATTTTAATTAATTATTATTATTTATTTGTTTAAAATTTAAATTATACATGAATGTGTATATTATTGAAAGAAAGTTAAAAGTGTAAAATTCATCTAATAGGCCATCTTGGTTTCTCTTTGTTATATTAATGATTATTATTTGCTATTTTCCATTAACTTCAGGTAAATTTGATGCATGTCTTCAGATCACCTAAGCTCAGCTCAGCTCACGGATAGCACAACACAGCATCATGGAAAATACCATTCCGGATATCTAGAATTTCAGTTTGAAAACAAACAAAGAAAAATTAATAATTAAATCCGTTCATGAAATAAGAAAACCAATATATGAAATTATTTTAGATCTATAATTATCGGTAAATGGTAGGTGCATAAGAAATGTTATAATGCGGCATGTGTTACATGTGCTGCATCCCAAGTAATCCACAACGGGAAACTCATGGAATCCTTCGAAAAAGTGAAGACGGGAGTAAGACAAGGCTGGCTGGCTGCCTACTATCTCCAATGATTTTCCTGATTGCGGGCGACAAATGGATAATGCGACAGAGAGAGGACAACGAGGAAACAGGCATAAGATGGACCCACACAAAAAACTTGGAGGATTTGGACTTCGATGATGATATATGTCTGATTTCCCACAAACTGGAAGATGTGCAAGTGAAAAGCAACAAGTTGGCATAAGAGGCATCAAAGAAAGATAGGACTTCAGGTGAACATAGAGAAAACAGAGGTGTGATGAAGATTCCTGGCTAACAGCAACAGCAACAACAACAGACAACAATCATCCAGCATAAATGGGAGGAATCTGAAAGAAGCAACCTCCTTTACCTACCCACCTACCTGGGAAGCATCGTTTCAACTACAGGCGGACAAAACTGATGAGGATATCAAAGCGAGGATCGGGAAAGCAAGAACTTTCATTACTCTCAAATCTGTGTGGAGATCAACAGCACTCAGCATGAAAAATAAGATCCAGATTTTCAACTCCAATGTGAAGTCAATGCTACTATACGGACTTGGCGCGTCGCGAAGGCCACTTCGAACAAACTACACACCTTCATCAACAGCTGTCTTCGCTTAAGATCAGATGGCTAGCCAGAAAAGATCAGCAACAGGGAGAGATCTATGAGATCACCCAGCAGGAACCAATTGTGCAACAAATATGCAGGAAGAAATGCATGTGGATTGGCTAGCCATACTCTGACAAAACAAGCCATCAAGTGACATCACACGCCAGGCCATCACCCGAGTGGAATCTAAATGGGAAGCAGCGAGGGTGACATGGAGGAGGTGATGTGAAGAGGAGATGAAAGCATATGGACAGATGTGCAGCCAGGTGAAAACGTTGACAGAGAACCGAACGCAATGGAGACGTGCGGCTGAAGCCCTATGTTCCTCTAGGAATTAAAGGAAATAATAATGTGCTACTAACAAGACTTATGAGTAGTATATTACGAGACGTTCATCAGCACAAAATATCAGATATCGGAGAGATGGTGGATTTGACGTCAAAGAGAGCAAATGATGAACCACGATTGCGGTGAAACATGGGAGACAAGAAAAGAAGCACAACGCGAAGGGCAGAAGTAGCACAACACGGAAGATCTGTGCATGCAAATGACGATTTCCATATAAGGTGTGCATAATTTTCTTATTTATGTATATCAAATTCCTAAAAGTCTCTTGTCTGCTACCGTTACAATAATACGCCATTCAAAAAAACCTAGAATCCAGGGATGCACTAGAATTTGGACATACATGTATATTCTAATACCCTTGAAAAATTTATCACAATGTGCCTTGTGTTTTCAGTCATAATTGTTGAATATATTCATCTACAAAACAAATGCTGTTATCATTGCATTTGTTATTTTCTTGACAAGACATAAAATCCATATTAGGTTAGTAAATTTGATCTAACAAACATAGTGATACAGTCTTTATAACTGGATCACGATTCCACGATAACTGATTGCTCATAATTATCATATCAATGTATTCACATGGCTTCAAAGTTTGTTTTACACACATTTCTCTCCGCTCTTAAGATTTAGATATGATGGAGAAGATTTGTAGCTCAAGTGGATGATTTTGATGTAGTTGAGTTCTCTGAGTTGGATGGTTTATTTTCGAAGCTTTCATAATTGCCCTACTAGGCAACATCTTCAGCGCATACTTCAATTTGTTGAAGTGAGCTTTTAAATTTCTCCACGAGTTTATTGGTCATCTCTCCTGGTGACCTTGAACGTGATTGGTTGTTCTTGTGTGTCTTCACACCCTCCAGGTTACCTGTATTGGTATTGGTGTGTTGTTCCCTTGACCTGAAGTTCGCCCCTTTGTGTGTGTGAGATTTCCTTCCTATCGACTGGTAAATTTTGTCTATGTCGATGTGTCTACTGATTGACGATTCACTGAAATACCAGGCTTCTAAAAATTCTCTAGCATTCTTGGTGTTTTTTCCTCTGTCTAATATTTGAACGTTGGTTGTGTTGTCCCAGTCAAATTTATGTCCGAACGACCTAGCAGTGCTCGACTTAGTTGTGATGAAAATAAAAAATAAAGTAGTGGGCTAAGACAACCAGCAGCCTTACCCTCCAAAGGAAAACTGCAGCAAACAGTCAAATGCGCGCAATTCTGTAAACAGTTATTGATTTTATCAATATTTAGTCATCACGAATCACTGACTTTTAGAAACTGACAGTATTTGTTAAAATGCAATAAGCGACTGAAATACAAATTTAAAAAGGATTTTTTGTACTCGAACGGCTATCTAAAATGAACACTATACATTGTGAAGCTTTTGCAACAGCGAATAAAATGATTAAAAGTTTATTATAATACGGAAGGGGTATCGTTTCTGAAAGAAAATACATTCGCGAATATATTGTTTGGTTTGTTAGGGTTAGATACGGTTTTACGAGTTGATCACGGATTGATATCAGTTAGAGAACCATTGAAAACCAGGGAGTACTGGACAGCTGCTGTTTCATCCTAGTTTGGGAATCATCGGCAGTACGTCCTTACAAACCAAACTATAGAAAATTAATCTGATGCTCACTTGTGACTTGCTACAGGATGGAGTTTCCTGGAGTTCTAGTGAGAAGTCGTGACCAGTGAGGTCCGATTAGATGTGACGTGTGTGGATGGATGTCCCACCAACGACAATGGTTGGGGTCGCACTAAATCACGAATTGGTAGAAGTTAGAATTCATGGAATAGCCATTGAATCGGGTCCCAGTGGCTGAATGGTATACAAGTTTGCCTTGTAACCGGAAGGTCCTGGGTTCGAATCCCAGTGGGTACGTACTGCCAATGATTCCCAAACTAGGATGAAACAGCAGCTGTCCCTGGTTTTCAATGGTTCTCTAACTGATATCAATCCGTGATCAACTCGTAAAAATTCATGAATATAAATAAATTCGGAGTGAAATAAAAATGAGGTTTTTTCGATTTCTAAATACTTCTTTAGTGTTTCAAATGACATGAAGACATGACTCTTTAAATCGACTTTATATGAAGTCGGATCAGTTTTGACATGTACTACGCATACCAGGGTTTCATGTTCCTGGACGATACATGTTAGCTAACGCTGAACTAGGATAAATATGAGTTAGGAGTGCTCTGACTAAGACACAGCACTAATCTACAAAGACTTTGAATGTTGGTTTCAGTCATATAGGGTGATGCGGACTACCCAGTTGGGATTCTCGGGATGTCAAACATCTATGGTTACAGATATTTAGTCATAAAGCATAAAACCCGTTCACAGTATCGCAGGTGTGTCCATTTTTTGTGATTTTTTCAACCTCATGTATTGTACTTTCATTGCACTTCTTTCCTTCACCTTCATATTATACTTTTCTGAAGTGTGGTAACTTGAACTAATATGTGGTTTTATGCAAAGTTCTGTTCAAAAACAAAACTTCACCATCTAGTATTCGCTGTCATCGTCTGGTTTGTATGCCTATCTTTATCACTGTCTCCTAATGTAACAGATGACATGACTGTCATCTTGCTCAAATGTGGTACGATGACGACCTTTGATTATTTGTGGAGAGATTTTCTTCCTTCATAACTTCATATTTTGTGCTGCATATTTTTAAGAATCATTATCTTATCTGTACAATCAATATTCACTATTGAAAACTGTACATCAAATTTAAAGTTGTAACTTAAAAAGAAAAAATACTATTCATAGATTTTGAAAAAATCAATGATTTAAAACTAGAGTGATCTATAATCAATCATCTGGTTTTAATTCGGTCAGATTCCTAATCTTTGTCTTTTCTTTCTTTAATCAACGCTTCAAGGGAAATCACTGCTGAATTGGCAGAAGTTAGATTTCATGAGCCAGCCATTGGATTTCGTCCCAGTAAATAGGTGGTCAACGAGATCACCGTGTAAGCTTAATGTTTTGGCTTCGATCCCCAGTAAGATCATGGATGTGTACTGTTGAATAGTTTAAAACAAGGATTCCCTGGTTTTATATAATTGGTTCTCCAACTAAAGTCAGTTCCTGACTAAACTTGAAAGAAATCAGTTCAGCTGGAATGGGATATTGGGTACCTGTCTATACATATAGGAGAACAAAACTGAAATTCACCTTTAATTTTCCTATTACAATTGTCGGCCGAGTTAAACTTTAAGCACCACTAACTACCAATCAGAGAATGACCTCGAATAGTCCAATGAGGTTCATCCACCTGAGTTCAAGGTTGTATTCCGCTTGATTCGTATCAAATGCTTGCTGTAACGAAGTTACGCTTGCAGTTCGTGGAGGATAAGGTTTTGCAGTATTGACTGGATTTGGGGTTGCTTAGGAAGGAGAGGATTTGTTCATGTGGAGGTGTCATGAGTTTAAAAAGCTTTAGCAGGTCGATTGATGGATATGTCCGTCGTTGTACAATTTGCTTGAGACGAGTTAGTATTAGGGAAGGTAAGCTGATAATTTTAATATTTCGTAGGAACATTTTTTGCTAGGTCGCATCCCTCCCTAACCCAGATTTTGTATATTTGCAACTACTGGGTTTTAAAACAGCCTGTGAGAGGTGCAGCTGCTGAAACTGAAAATAGCCTCGTGTCAACAGTTCAGTGGTACCAGCACTGCAGAGACATTGCATCATGGAAAATGGAGAGAATTACTTCGTTGTTAGGCGGAGAAGGTGTCGTCGTACACGTGGACGAAACTGTCTTATTGAAGAAAATATACAACCGTGGTCGTGAGCGAGCCAACAATGTTTGGGTGATCGGTTCATATGACACCTCCTTGCAGAAAGGATTCGTGGAGAGAACGCCAGAAAGAAAGTCGACTACTTTAATACCTATTATTACTAGACTTGTGAAACAGGGATCCATAGTACATACTGATGAGTGGAAAGGTTATAACTCGCTGTCATCTCTTGGATATATTCATCACAGAGTGAACCATTCTAGTGATTTTGTGGATCCAATTACAGGGACACACACAAATTCTATAGAAGGATTTTGGCGAAGATTGAAAAATAGCATTAGGGCTATAAATAGATCTCAAAAGGATCTCATTTATAGTCATTTGGATGAATATATGAACAGAATGTGGTGTGACTTTTCTATTAACACTCCTATGCTAAACTGGGAGATGTTTCTATCACATTTTAGAGAAAGATATCCTATGTAACAGTTTTATGCAGTTTTTTATGCTTTCTTTCCATAAATATACGTTTTCCTTAATCAAAAATCCCTCTTTCATGTGATTGGTCCGTTGAAGGTCGTTCGCTGGTTGGTAGTTAGTGGTGCTTAAAGTTTAACTTTGCCCAGTTGTCACTTCCGGCATAATTATGTCACTTTGCACTGATCAATACCTACCTGTAAAACACTGTTATTTCGCATTTCAACAGTGAAGTTAAGAAACTTGTGGTCATATACTTAACACATGCTGTGGAATGACCTTAACCTGAATATTCATGAATTGGAAAGATTTTCACAAGATGATATCACTGGGAAATGACACTTAATATCAAAGAGAATGAAAAGAGATGAATCATAAACTTTTGTATTCCCGGTATATTGTTATTCTGTGCATCAAACATTCAAGATATAACCCTTTGGCGAAGTATGCCTAATTTTTTTGGTGACATCATAGATATTTGTGCGAAATTTTTAAATGCACAAAATACTTTTGGAATATTTGTTAATTTCTACTTTGCAAACATGAACTAATCTAATAGTATTGTAATTTATTTGTATGACCTCAAAACACACTTAACACACTTAATAACATGAAAAGATTTTCACGGTTGCTTACTTTCCCTCCACGTTAATGATGGTTAGTTAGTACACACAATGATCTCTTTACTATCTATTTATTGATGTAACGACATTCTTATTGATTTTATTTTAATATTTTAAACAGAAGTGAAGAGTGAAGTTGTTGGCCCTTTCACATTTTTAACAAATTAATGAAATATTATCGTTTGCCACCTCCTATAACCTCAATTCTTAACAATAATAATAATGTACTATTTACTATTAACTTCATTGAAACATTGAATTTGTTTAAATGAACTTTCAGGCGACGCGGTAATATGAAAATGCCGCCAAAGCATCCCGGTTCAAATGGTTTCATCCTTTTTCCTTATACACTTTAAAAAAAATAAATTACGGATGCCTACCGATTAGATCAATAAAAACATGCACTTAAACAAGCACAAATAATAAAAGAAGATTTTGTTATTCAATTTTAGGGTGACGAAAAGGGAGAGGGAGGGAAGGAAGAAGTCATAAAAAGATGTATATAAACAACTTACAAGAATTAATGCAAAACTTATTCCAATTCCACATATTATGGAGAGATTAGATCTGCACGCTTCAACGAGTACATCATGACACCCCTTTGTATAAAATATGAAGAATAATAAGTAAAAATAAGTAGTATATTAAAGAAACAATGCACAAATAATACACTATGCATAAATTAATCAATTTAAGATGGTTTATTGTCCAAGTTCTGATGGTATGAATCAGTAGGCACGTTTGACAAGTGTTTATTCCCTTGACGGCTGGTTGTAAAATAACCTCCAATAGCTTACACATAATATACAATCTAAATTCTATGCTAAAGAAAATTAGAACTACACATCACTGATGCTATTTTATCCTACAACACAAAAAAAAGTCTTCTGGAGGCCTATAACTAACTTATTCATCGATTATACACATAAAAATCAATAACTTCATTTGAATTAATCTCCAATTCTTGTCGTTTAATATTAATGTATACTTTTGTAGAATACTGAAAAGTATCTATAAGTATAAAAGTGCATATAAGAATATTTAAAGAACATTTATATGCTAATTTATTTTTCGACAGTACTACCACAACAACAATAACTATGCTATACAAAGACCTTGGCGGCCTGCTTAAATCTTGGGCTACCAAATACCTTAACCATTACAAATCATATTGCATCTAATTGCTCACTTCCAATTTTATTTTAAATAATTAAATTTTATTCTAATATGTCCGCAAATCGGATTATTTATCCTCGTGAGTATTTAATATCCTTAAAACCTACTGATCGGAAATGCCACAAAAAAGACAAAAAAAAGCATCACGCCGGGTGGCAAAGAGCCTTAAAAAACACCCCTATTCAATTTATGACCGTTCCTGCAATCATGAGTACTAACTGTCGCTCCCTGCCAGCCAAGATTAACTATCTTCAATCACTTGTGTCTTCCATTATATATCGAAATACTGGGATCATATCACTTCAAGAAACATGGCTACACGATCTGTACGATGACAATCTAGTGTATCTAAATGATTTCAAACTATTCAGACAAGATCGATGCAGTTCTAGGAAGAAACGTGGTGGAGGTGTCGCCATCTTCATAAATTCACAATGGTGTACATCTAATAAAGTATGTTTCAAATTCTCTAGTGACAACATTGACTGCCTCACCGTCAAATGTCGACCTAAGCATTTGTCAAAATATAACTACATATACATCTCGAACATTTATATTGCACCTGGATGCAATTCCACTGAATTGTCTTTATTTGCTGATGAATTTACCTCCTTTGCTGCCACCTCCTTCGGAAACTCGTTGTCTATTGTTACTGGAGATTTCAATTCTAGTGATCACAACTTCCTTATTTCACTTGGTCATGATAACATTGTCAACTTCCCGACTCGAATGGATAATATTCTAGATCTTGTGTTCACTAATGACATAGGAATATTTGAAGCTCGGAAAAGAGCCCCACTACTTAACTCTGATCACTGCATCATAAGAGTATTGCCCAAGGTATATGGAAAGCTGCACAAAAGGGTCTTCTCCCACCTTGGAAAGAAAACACAACACAGATGCTATTCACATGATAACATACAGAATCTAAGGACAATGTTAAACGACACAAACTGGGACCTGTTTACTGAACAAGCTCTTGACAACACAATTAGTAACATAACACATTATCTCAATTTCTGTCTTGATGTTTGTTGTCCTAAAGAGACAATCTTCTTAAAGTTCGACCGTTTCGCGTCATCTCAACTCAAAAAGCTTCGCCGTCAAAAAGAGAGGTTATACAAAATGAAAAATAAATCTGGTGTTAAGAGAATAAACACTTTGATTAAAGCCGAATTACAAAGATTAAATGCTCTCTATAACCAGAAGTTTCTCTCATGTAAATCCTCATCTAATATGTGGAAGCTATTAAAGGAAATCACAGGTGGTAAGCAAATAATGAATGATACTTCTGTCGATGTTGATATGCTAAATAAATCCTTCATATGTATCCCTGCAGATGTTATGATTCCCAAATCTAATAGCATAAATAATGACTGCTTTTCATGTTTTAACACGAATGATGTCCTCAAGTGTCTTCAATCTCTCAAACCTACCCAGTCCCTTGGTCCTGATGGAGTTCCTGCTGTTATCCTTAAGAAGTGTGCTGACATCTTATGTTACCCATTAACTGACATTTTCAATGAATCTTTTTCCAATAGTTTTATTCCTGACTCATGGAAAAATATCAAGGTTGTTCCAGTGCCCAAATCAACAAGTGGACCTACTGTTAAGTTTCGACCCATTGCTATTACCTCACCTTTTTTAAAAGTTATGGAAAGACTTATTTTACTTAATCTTGAACCCTCTTTAAAGCCTTTTAACGACCCCAACCAGTTTGCCTATAAACATAGTAGGTGTACCCTAGATGCCGCTGTAGTTCTATATCATAATATAGTCTCTAGTTTAGATAGAGGAGCCAAATATGTTCGGTGTGCCTTCCTTGATTACACATCTGCATTTGACTCTGTACCTAGGTCTCTCTTGTTAAGTAAGCTTGCTGCAACACAGAGTGAGAGCTGGATAAATAAGTGGTTGTATTCCTACTTTTCTGATAGGAAGCAGTACACTGTCTACAATGGAAAGTCCTCCTCTACCTCACTTACTTTAGCTGGTGTTCCTCAAGGGGCCGTTCTTTCTCCTTTTCTGTTTTCTTTTTTCTTACATGACTTGCCCCATTCAGATGTAGCCACTTTTGTCAAGTATGCTGATGACCTCTCTGTCTCCATGCCTGTCAACTCTCAGTCAGACTGTTCCATATTAAATAACTTTCTCTCGGAAATTAGTCAGTGGTCCTCTTCAAACGGTCTTAAGCTGAATCCGTCTAAATGTCAGGTAGTAAATTTTACTTTCAGACGAAAAAGTGACCTTCAACAACTAGCTAGCTCACATGGTCCCACTATCATAGACGGCATAGAGGTTGAAACTACATCAGATGTCAAGTACCTTGGACTGAGTATTTCCTCCGATCTTTCCTGGTCCTCTCACATCTTGCTAGTGACTAGAAAGATGTTTCGCTTAACGTTCTACCTTAGGAAGTTTAGGCAGTCTGGTATAAAGCAGTCTTTACTTTCTCAGTTTGTCAATTCCTGTATTCTACCCATCCCTCTTTACTGCTCCCCATTAATCTTTCCAGGACTACTTAAGAAAGACTTTGCTTCGCTGCGTAGGGCACTAAAAGCTGTTAGTAGGGCAAGTGGGATATCGTTAAACCAACTGGTTAACACCATAGTGGATAGACATATAATGTCATGTAAGAAACTAGCGAATACTATATTGTCAGACCCTGAGCATCCTCTCTATACACAGCTCTCTCCTTGCATATCATCTGGTAGAACTAGAAGTAACTATAGGAAGCTATATGCCAGGACTACCAAATATAAAAACTCCACAATACCTTATCTGGCACAGCTGTTATGTGATGAGAAAACTGTTAGGCATGACATGATCAATTTACTGCGGCACTCTAACAAATAGTTCCCATTAGCTTTTGTTTTCCTTTCTTTGTTACTATTATATTGCTGCTCATATATTCTATTACAGACTAATTTTATATATCGTATCCTGTGGTGCACTGTTTAAATATGTGAATGTAATGCTGTTCTTTTTTTATTTTATTTCTTTTATTTCTCTTTTTCTTTTTGTTGTTGTTGCTTTATATTCCTAAATCCTTATTAAATTTATGAGGTAATTAGATGCAATATTGTAATGAACGCTGAAAATTCCATACCTGTACCACAAATACTGTTTGGAATAAAGCCATTATTATTATTATTATTATTATAGTAGTAGTAAGTAGCTTAAGCTAAATTCTAAAAACGTTTACATACATAATATGTAAATTCGTAAATCACTCAAGTAAGCAAACATTTTCAAATGTTGATTTGCAAGGATTTGATTGGCTACAGGATTTCATTATCGGTCAGAGAACTGTTAGAAAATCTGGGAGTACTGGACAGTTATTTCCTTCGCCAATGACATTGGCTAGCGGTTGCGCTATATCGTGAATTGGCAGAAGTTGGAGTTCATGAACTGGCCATTGGATAGGGTCTCAGTGACTTAATGGTCTGCAAGCTCGTCTTGTAACTGGATGGTCCTCGGATAGAACTCCGGTGGGTGTTTACTAATGAGGAGTTCCAAACTGGGACGAAACGACTGTCCAGTACTACCAGATTTTCCAACGATTCTCCAAACAATGTTAACTCATGATGAAATCTTGTAAGCGAAAATTTGTTTCTCAAGGCACACAACAATGTTTGTTAGTTTATGGATATAGATTGGTAGGAAAGCCTAAAACTGGGTTTCTTGCTAGTAAGCACTATTCGTCAGATTTCTGAACATCATCCTGCATGGCTGAGCAGTGGGACAAACAAGATCTATTTACAGTTGTGTTTTAGCTCATCTTGTAGATGCCGAACACAAAGATGATATTAAAAAGGCATTTAAGGTTATCTAGCTTATTCCGACTAATCTCAATTTCGCCTTATGAGTTCGTCCTTTACGTACAGCTGAAGTTGTGGGAATCCGCATTAAGAAGCCTAACTTATGTGTTCAGCGAAAATTCATTCAAAAGCTTTCTCAACCTTCGTCATCATTGTTTTAACTGTCTTTAATTGTCGGATAGATTTTCTTCTTAATTTGATCTGATATTTTATTTAGCATTGCATTTGCAATTAGTTGTGTTCTCTGAGCTGGTTGGTTTAATTGTGGAGCTTTTGTCGTTCTTCTGGACAACATCTTCAGCGCAAGTTTTAGCATAAATCAGTTCACTTTATGCTAAAACTTGCGCTGAAGATGTTGTCCAGAAGGACGACAAAAGCTCCGCAATTAAACCAACCAGCTCAGAGAACACAATTACATAAAAAATACTTTCATTACTTATATTTAAAATATAAATTTATAGTAAAACCTAGCAAACAGAGTTACAGGCAGGCAAGTAATTATGCCAATGGATATATCAATAGTGTATAAAGTTTTCTTTGCATGGAGGATTTCATCATGAGCTGACATCAGTTAGAGAACCATTGGAAAACCAACTGAGAGTACTGGACAGCTGTCTCTTCCTAGTTTGGGACTCCGCTTCAACATTACGCCCCCACCACCAAGGTCCGAACCCAGGACCTTCTGGTTACAAGGCGAGCTCGTAGACCATTGAGCCACTGAGAACCGATCCAACGGTCCTTGAATTCTAACTTCTGCCAATTCACGACATAGCGCAACCATTTCGCAATGTCTTCTTCGATGAGTTACTGCCTCATCTTAAAGTTTTCCTCTGACCTTCTGTATTGACAGACTAATTTTCACACTAAATCCGGTTACCTGACATAATGATAATCCACTGCGCTAGAGCTTGAGTATTTATAAACGTGTAAAGATAGTTCACGAAGTTGTCAACTGCTTTCTACAGTGTAACCCGTCATTTCAGCTTAGTATGTAAGTCCCTATAATTGCTAGTTAACATACTTCATTCTCAGTCTTTTCTTGGCATCTTAGACAAGCTTATGGAACATGTTCAGTGGTGGCCGATAGAAGATTTCACGACTCGTGTTTTGTTCTGTTTGAGACTCGAACCCACGACTCAACGCTTGAAACAACTAATCGCTAACCACCAGGCTTCTGAGTCATGATAGCTAACCTCTAATGCAGCAGGCATGGTTTGAAAATGTTTATCCACACTTTTTAATTCCTGCTAAAGTAGTTTCTGACCGAGTCAATCAGTTTTATTTCTGATATACAGGGATTTGGACGGATGACGGTGTCATAATTAATAGCTCGAAGTCACCTGTTTTCTGGAACAGGAACGACCGGCTTAGGATTCCCGAATAGGATGAAACGCGTGCCCTGGATACTACTGCTAGCCTCCAACGAATTAGCAGCTTCAAGTTATTAATCTTGGCAGTATTGATGCATCCTTTCAAGCAGCCCATATACCATAGATGAACATCATCAATTCCCTCCAGATATTTCAACGGGACATAAAAAATATGAATAATCTTAGGCACCAAAACTGTTATTTAGTTCAGTAGTTTAGATATACGACAACATGTTACTGGGTAATGGGAGTTGAAACCACTCCATCATATTTTGATCTAAGTAGTCTGACAGTACCAAAGAAAGGACTAGACATATTGCACTAATCAATAACTAGTATCCAATCAAAATAACTTTGTAATAATAATAATAATGTCACCACCCAATAGATACTTACTCTTGAATTAACACGTGTAGACTTTGTCGCTGTACAACTTTTCGGTGGCGTTCTTGTACCATAGTCAGCTGCAGAAGTAACACCACAACAACCGAACTGTGTGTAACAACAAAACAAAAATAATGACAATGATAAATAGAATATAGGAAACTTGTACAGTAATATTAACTAATGACGTTTCGAGTACAAATTATTATTGTTCATGATCATATCAAGTCAACCACACAACTATTTTGCTTCATATATATACATGAGTAAAACTGATTAGACATTTAAATAAAATCAAATATAAGATAAAGTACATTCGGAAATAATAATATTAGTGTTATCAATCAAGTACAGTCAGATAGGAAACAAGATGCTTTCTATAGTCAAAATAAGTAACTTTGTTAGAATGTTTTGATGTACGTGAATTGAAATAGAATTTTAAGATTATTTATTATCCTCCTCTGATTTGACTGGCGGTAATAATATCTTCCTTATCTCTGGTATTTGCATGTGTTGGGTGTAGACTCGATGAACCAGGATTCAGTAATCAATCTTTCTCTCCACTTACCTGTGTTACTTCTTGCAATTTTAACCCTCTCCCGCTTTATTGTGTGGCTGTGTGTTAATGCATACAGTGCGATTGCTGAGTTATTTTCTAAATTACTTATCTTCGTGGGATCACTCATTCCAACCTTAGCTAAATTCTTATGTTCTGATAATCTTACTGCTCCTGATCTACTAGTATGACCTATATAGTTAACTTAACTCACAGTCATTGCAAGTTATTTTGTAAATTATATTATTTTGTTTAATAGGGTCAACCCACTGGGTCTTTTAGTCTACAGAGCTTGTCCTATCTGAGTGAGTTTGTAGGTTTGAATGTCACTCTAATTCCTGCTTTATTGAGAATCCTATGTAGAGAGGGTCTCAGATGTCCTTTTCTTGTATGGTAAAACTGCAAATGCCTTGTATTCTTTCTTATTTATGTTGTCATTATTAGTTTCACCATTATTTTTATTTTGCTTTTGACCTTATTTTTTTATTCCTAATGAATTTTATAGGATTTATCAAAATAAAATCTTTTCGAAAGTGGAGTTATACTCTACCACAGTGCTCAAGTTTTATACTTATAGGATATTTGCTTATTAAAACTATATATATATATATATATATATATATATATATATATATAGAGAGAGAGAGAGAGAGAGTCCCCCCATTCAATATCAGGGATCTTTACAAACATTATTTTGCTCGTAGTATTGCATAATCATTGCGATTGTCCTTTATATAGAACAGCTGCTGACGGTATAAAATGTGTTGCTAGATTATTCATCGAATACACGCAAATAAATATATATCCAATTTCTAGTTCACCTATAATCCAGTGTGTCTGAATAGCCTAGCAACATTTAACACAGAGGTTAGAAATGCAAAATAGTGACAGAAACTGTTAAGGTGGTGTAGAGTTATTATTGTTGTTAAAATGTCTGTGAAAAGCAGATATTCGAGCAGTCATTTATCAAGGTTATCGTGGAGAGATTAACCAATCGTTGGATAACATGAATGATTGATTAAGATAGATAGACAGACAGACGCGAAAGTTAACCTCCTTAAGTTAGTAACACATTAGACTCAACTTAAACGACAGCAATTATGTGGCAAACATTTTGGAGACAGGCGTTGCCATAACAACGAAAAAAACGAGTAGGAAAACGTGTACTCCAATTATTAGTGAACATCAATTATCTTAAAATATCTCGACAGCTTCTATCGTTTCAATGTTCAATAAAACCCGGGAAGTTCAAAAATTAGACATACAGTGAGACATGCATGCACTGGCGATGTCATGCTGAGTGTGAAACAGGCGTAGCGGTTGGTTATACCGCTAGATGTAATAAGTTGTAGGGCGGAATTATGTATGACATTTTAAATGAGGGTTTAAATAATTCTTTCTAACCAGCTGTAAATGAGAGTTTGAAGACACTAATGATACGGACTGATTGGCAGGCGTACACACACGAGTGAATATCAAGAGATAAGCAAAAGTGAAACAAATGGAATTTGAAGAAGAAGAAGAGGAAGAGGAAGAAGCCAGATCTATGATCACAAAAGTCATGAAAAAAACTTTCCTTATCTAATATTTATGCATGAAATTTGACTTTAAGATTGACTTTTGTGTTTTTAAGATAAAAAATGACTTCTGGTTTTGCATATTTTTGAATATTTTAAAAATTCAAGTTTAACTGATGAAAAATTTGTTAAGGAGGATGGACTTTCAGAGTGAAATTTAAATGTTAAGGCGTAAAAAAATCCAGACTCTTTAAAAACCAAATACTTTTTTTAAAATTTTATGTTTATAAACACCTGGTTTTAAATTTTTAAAAAGTCATCTTCAAGTATCGATTTGCAGAGATTTGGTTGATTTCAAGATTGACTATGAACTGAATTCAGTGAGAGAACTATTGAAAACCAGAAAGTAGTAGTAGTGGACAGCTGTTTCGTCCTTGTTTGAGACTCTTCATCAGTACGTATCTATGACCCCACCAGGGACCGAATCCGGAGCATTCAGGTTACAAGGTAAGATCCTATGACTATTCAGGATAGAATCCACTAGCCAGCTCATGAATCCTAACTTTTGTCAGTTAGCGACTTTTAGCGCGATCGCCAGCCATTGTCATCGGTGAGTAGATTTCATCACAGTTGACTTGGTAGACGAAGATGCCTGCAGTTCTAGTAAGAAGTTGTGACCAGTAGGGTTCACCAAGTCAGGTATGAGGAAAACTGTCCTCCGACGATGTTGGCTAGTAGTGGTGCTGTACATGCCGCGAACTTAAAAAATTATGTATTAATTTTTAAATTCGAAGTTTCGATCTTTTATAAAGAAAAATGAGTTAGCACTACGAGAACACTTTTCTAAACAAAATTTGAAGAATTCAGTAGTAGTTAACCAAAAATAGCAGCTTCTAACCACTGATTCTTCTTTTAATTTATACAGTTTTCTTCGAAATATATAACCTGACTCATGCTTTTAATTATAAAAGAACAACGAAGTTCATGGTACATAGTGAGCAGTTGTTATTTAAATTCTTATGGTTACAGGATTTCATCATGAGCTGATATCGGTTACAGAACCAATGGAAAACCTGAGAGTACAATTTACCAATTTGAATGTACGTGTGGACACACATACAAAGAGAGGACTCATCGATCTCTGCAAGTAAGGGCTGGCTTCAGAGCATATTCCTAAATGGCTCCAGAAACAAATAGAATCTTCAGAACCCATTAATGGTGAGAACAGGAGACCTAGCTCCTCTATTGCGAAACATATTATAGAGACAGGACATAAAATTGACGTTAACAGATCTTTTAAACCTATCTATAAAACGTGTTTGGGGCGTATCCTAAAGTTTGTGGAAGCCCTAGCTGGTAATTAGAAAGTTTAAACCACCTTTATGTGTTCAAAGCAACAATTCGTCATCACATTAAACCTTCCTTGGTAAATTTTGTTTTGATAGCAGCCAGGGAAGATGTACTATTACCTCTGCTATTTGGTTTAGTGGTCCTCATTGTTATTTTGACCTTGAATATGTCCTTTTAACTTGACCTAAGTAGTCTATTTTCTCACCTCTTACCTCTTTATTAATTTCATATATATTCCTATGACAAGTCCGTGTGTGATCAGATTGTTCGAAATGTGTTGCGCAAATACATTACACACACGATTCAGACAAATTACGTCTTCTTATTGCTTTATCTAAAGATATTATTATTACTATTAACAGAACGTAAAGAGACTCGGTCTTGTTGTTTGCATACCCTACTAATCTGCATGGTAGCTGAAAACAGCAATTAGTGTATTGTGTGATTTACTAGAAAATACCAATGAATCCAGGCCCTTTATACTTTAACCAGGTAAACAGAATGAATGTTCAAGTATCAGAAAATATTTTGGTAGTTTCTTCTCAGTCTGAAAATCACAAATTAATCACATTTTTGTAGGATGAATGACAGAAGTCGTTTATAATTGAAATTTAGAAGTGAAACTCACTATTAACAATTGCCTATTGATGATTGACGTCTGTTTACTGGAGAAGAATTATCACAAAGTCTTAATTGATATAGAATTCGAACAGATCTTGAAATATTGTTATTAGATGGTTGGAGGCAATCGGAAGGAAGCACAGTCAGCTGACCTAGGTTTCGTGCTTGTTGGCACTCATCAGTCAACGAGACGTATCTGCAACCATGGAAAGAAGTCATATTCCTCCTGAGATTCGAACCCGTGTCATCCACTGTTGAAGTTAGAGAGGTTACCACTGAGTTATTCGGGCTGGTGATTGACCTCCTGTAGGACGATCGTATTAGATACTTTCGACTGGACACTATTTATTAACTAGTGCCATTCGCCTAGTCCATTTTTTGGTGCAATGTGGCCATCATTCTATGTGACTCACCATCACGGTGCACTTTGAACTGTTGCTGTTAGATGGTTAGAGGCAATCGTCAAGAAGTCTTGGACCTAGGTTTCATACTAACTGGCACTCATCAGCAAGGCGCAACTAGTACCTAGCATGATGGCCACATTGCAAACTTGACTGATAGAATTCAGTCTGCACCAAACAAACGACTAGGCGCATGATGCCAATTACAAACTAGTGTCCAATCAAAGAAGTTGAAATAATGCTATTCAAAACAGAACTGTGCATAGACGCACTGTATATCACATTATCCATATCACCTTTTATTAGTCAACGGATCTCAGTCAGTGTTTCTGTCGCCATAGGGACAACAAAGAGGTAAATTGAAAAGACATTGAAGAGCAATGGATACCCTCAAAGGTTCATCAACAAGTATGGAAGATCTGAAGTGACAAATGAACAACAAATCACAGTAGGAAAAAAGCCAATCTACTTTGAGCTTGGTTATAAAGGCGAAAACATTTCAGCGATGATCAACAGAAGGCTGAGTACATCACTAGCCATAGCCTATCCTGCAGCTAAGCTCGTTCCCGTTCATCGAACAACTTTTTGTTTGATGCAATCAAAAATCGGTAGATATCCTTCTCATGTTAACTCCAACTGTATATACAAATTTACATGTATCTG